GGAAGGTGCAAAAATTCCAAAACAAAATGAAGATCCTGATTTTTGGTGTTGTACCCGGTCGAGTATACCCTATACTCGATCGGGTAAGTTGCTGAAAAATCAAATCGGATAAATCCGCGAACAAGGCAACATGCAGAGAAGATTTTAACCACGATCGAGTGTCTATACCCGATCGGGTAGCCGACATACCCGATCGGGTATGCCCATGTTTTTCCAGCTTCCGCGAAGCAACTGAAGGCCCGATCGAGTACCCAATATACCCGATCGGGTACATGACCCTGCAAGCCCAAAAAGCCTATAAATACACCCCATTTCCTCCACAATAGATAACCAATTCCTATATACTTCTAAGCTCAGTTTAGACAAGTTCTTTCTTTATACTTTTATCATGTTTAGTCTCCAAATGAGGAGCTAAACTCTTCCATCTTGGTTTTGCTACTTTGAAGCTTAATGATTTGTAAGTTGTGAGTTATTTTCTCTAAACTTCTTCCTTGAATATTAATTACTTCCTATTCTTATTCTATATTAATATATTGAGCATTACTTAAAGTATCAACTAGTCTTGTTCTATATATTAATTATTACTAGAATCGGTCGGTTAATACGCTTGTTATTAATTCGGTCCTTTCACGGTAGTAAACTTGGGTTGTTAATGCATGCTTCTCATGGTTAATAAGCCAAGGGGAATTAATTATGTTGATTAAACCAATAAACCGCTTGTGTTGAGGTTATCAATCTGAATCGTTTTCATCTTGATTTTATTGCTACTATCAAGTTAATATACGGCGCTTGTTCTATATTGACTCGGTAGTAAGTTTTATTAATGAACGCTTCTCGTTATTAATAACTACCCTCGATGAACTGGATACACTCCTCGATTGAGTATTCGAGAGGAAGATAGTTAAAGATATAACGGGGATCGACGAACATTTCATTAAGTGGATAAAAGCAAAGCCAAGTCTTCTTCTCATTAATTAAACCACATAACTCGTTCATTTTCGTGTTTAATTTATTAAACCAAATCAAACTAAAACCCCCCATATTGTTACTAGTTCTATAATAAGAGAAGTATTCCTTTCCCTGTGGATACGAACCTTACTTCGCTATACTACGTATTAGTGTCGTATTGATATTTATTTTGAGTGCACCTCACGATAAGTGCACGTCACACTTGGTGTTGGTTTTGACTTGTGAACTGTATATGTCTTTCATGTGCTCTGTACGAATTGAAGGGCGTAATCAGAACTCAAAATATAATGACCTCTACTTCCGCCCCTGCTCTATGGTGCTTTGTAATTTGTATATATAAAGTGACTACTATTAGTTTTATCATATCTTATTATTTTATTATAAAAATATTAAAACCACTCATGATGGCTATGGGATTTTAGGTATGTAATTGTGTGTTTTGTTGTAGTCATTGTAACATTAAATATCAACCCCTATTACTCCTTACCTCCATTACAATCCAACATAATAGTTGGGTATGGATTTAACTTTATACAATGCATAAGAGTTTGAAACTCAATAAAGCGAATTTCAACCCTGATTACTCCAGGCTCCCCCACCCCCACCCCCAGACCCCCCCTAAAGTAATAAAAAAGATTTGGTTCGACTTGCTTACATCTCTACTAGTGCCCCAAGGTGCATTGCACTAGGTCATTCCGACTTCCCAAACTCTTAACAAAAATAAATATGAATTGTTTGAACAAATACAAGAAATCACGTTTAACTAATTGATTGTGTGTCTTTAATTAGGTTTAGGGGAGGAGCCAGAACACTGAACCGATATGAAATGCGAAGTATATTTTTGGAAAAAGTTTTGAACATACCTTTAACCTTTAAGTTTAATACTCCCTCCGTCCCGAAAACAACTTCCCGGTTGGACTTTCACACACTTTTAGGAAATAAATTTGACTTTACTGTAGAATGCACTGTTTGGCACCGTTTAAACACTGTTTGACACTGTTTAAACACTGTTTGGCACTGTTTAAACACTGTTTGGTACTGTTTATCACTTTTTTATGCAGATAATTTGTCAAATAAGGAAAGTATTGAAGTGTGAAGTTAATTTTGGGACATCAATTTAAGGAAAGTGGGAAGTTGTTTTCGGGACGGAGGGAGTATATTTTTTAAATTTATGGTAGGCTCAGGTTGCCCTCTCGTGTACCCGGCCCTTGCTTAGGTTCCAAGCACGAATCCTCATAGAGCCATTATTGATTGATCAAACACCTTAATTCAATCTATACACTCCATTTTTATTTTAGCTAGCAACGTAACTTTATCAACAAACCTATGCAAGTATAAGGATGTTTTTATTTGGACGGTAATTCGTCCCAAACCAGATCAAATCAGACCAGACTTGGATAGTTATAAAAATACAAAGAGACCAGACATTACTAAACCAAACCAGACCAGACCAGTTCAGACCAGACCAGACCAAATCAGATCAGACCAGACCAAACCAGCAAATTACAGTCCAAGTAAAAACATCCTAAAGCATCTATAGTGTCATAGTTAGAAGAGGAATTAAAGTAATTACTAGATAAACACGAGCCCATAAAATTACTATATACTCCATGCTACTATTATATATTTTCCAAGTAGAGAGAGCCTGTTTGACAACACTGCTTTTCAGCTTATCAGGCTTATCAACCAACTTTTTCACCAAACACGTAATTTTTGTTTTCGCGCACTGAATTGTGTAATAAGCAAAAAAGTAAGGTTGAAGTTACTTTTCTGACTATATTGGCTGAAGTTACTGTAGATGACCATTTTAGCTATTTTTACATATAAATTTTTCTTTATTTTATTAATAAAATCTATTTTAAAAATAAATTTTTCTTAAATGAGCAAAATCAGCCAATGCAGCCACTTTAGCCAGAACTTCATAAATTTCAGCAGAGTCAGCCAAATCGGCCAATTTTCGTGCTACCAAACGGGTTCTATAAATTATCTCATGCTACTTTTTCTATCAACTTCACCTTTTAGAGTGATATTCCGACTCTTCATAACATAATTAATTATATTTAAAAAAAAACTTCCTCCGTTCTTTCTTAGTTGCAACATTCCCTTTTTCACGTTTGCCAACGCACAACTTTGACCGTCATTATATTTAATTCCGTAATAGTAAAAATAAATAAAAATTAGATTATAAAATTTAGTAATGAGAAGAATTTAACAATATTTTTCAAAAATAATAATTCATATACATTAATGAATAAAATGTAGTAAAAGTAAAGTATATGAATAGTGTATATATTCCGATGTTGCAACTAATGCTATACGGAGGATAGTATATACAAAGTAATACATTTATTTTGGAATTTTACATGGCCTTTTTATTCCAATATTACTAAAATGAATGAAAATGATAAAAAAGTGATCTGTTTTAAATTTTCCCAAAAATGTGACTAAGAGTCATTTAATCCTTGTATTTAATCATACATTAATTATTTTAATATTCTTTTTAAATATTTGATTATTATTAGTCCATATTTTGCAGCCACCAGCACCTCCCCAGCACAACTGTCGCCGCCACCGCCGCCACCACAACCGTCGTCGCCACCTCCACCGCCACCGCTACCGCCTCCGCCGCCGGCACCACTACTGCCAGTCACTATCTCAGTGACTTGCGGTCACTGAAGCCACCAAACTCCAGTCACTGAATAGTGATGACAGCCACCCCCAACTCCGGTCACTGAACAGTGACCGCCACCCCAACTCCGGTCACTGAACATTGACCGCCACCCAACTCCGGTCACTGAACAGTGACTGCCACCCCAACTCCGGTCACTAAATAGTGACCGCCACCCAACTCCGGTCACTGAACAGTGTTAGTCCCCAACCATCGCGCTAGCATCCCCACCGCCACAGCCACCGCGCCGCCACCGCATACACTGCCAGTCCCCAACCCTAGCCGTCTAGCCCCCAACCTCCAGTCCTCACCACTGTCGTCTTAACCCTAGCCACCGGACAATCCGCCAACCAATCACCGATCTCCAGCCAACCACCATCGTAGTGAGGTAGGACCGCCGCCGCCGATCTGGTATCGATGCTCTGTCAATGAGGACCACAATGACAGTAGGGAAGAAGACAGCTCTGAATCTCCTTCCTACGACCGGACAGTTTGAGAAGAACAAGAAGACGTGGGGGTGGGGCGAGGACATGACATATGACGAGGGCAAGGACGATGATGGCTAAGATTAGGGCGGCGGCGAAGATCTGATGAAGCACGAATCGATCCCAACCATTTTCGTCCAATAGCGCTCAGGTGAAGATGAAGTGACGTCGATTGTAATCTCAATCGCCGATTGGCGTGCGACGGCGGCTGAATAGAGAGGTTGCCACTCGCTGTCACCGGCGCGACCGCAAGGGAGACGGTAAGGACGGCGAGCGCGATGGCGAGCCAGAGGATGCTGGCGGCGTCGCGTGGAGATGGCGGTGCAAAGTCCGTCGATCTGTCTTCGAGCTGAGCTGCATTCTTCTTCGATCTGTAAAGGAGATGAAGAGCCTCGAAGCCTTCGAACAGGAGAAGGGCACGGTCCAATTCAGTTTTGAGTCATATTTTTTGAAAAAGCAAAATGGGTCATAGTTTTGGAAATGAAAAGCCCAATAGTTATTTCCATGCCATTTTTTCATTTTACATTATTTTACTTCAATTTCTTAATCTTAAGTAACAAATCAATAAATCCGCACGAGTAAATCAGTTGGTCCAGTGATTAAATCAGTTAAGTCCAGTGAGGCAGTGATGAGAAAGTTGGAAAATTAACCAAGGAGCAAAACCCCACAGTTCCTGCGGACTGGGCTGAACTTCTGGTGCGCATTGATACAAGATCTACCACCGTTATACTGACTGAGTCATCGTGACTATAACCTCCTAAATGTAACAACCCAATAATTGCTATGGTTATGATCGATTATGTCGGCATGGGCATATGATCGATAGACAAATATACATAGGAACTTGGCACATACGTACGTGACTATAAATAGACAGTGAAGATTGATATAATGATCACCCGAACTAGCTCGGCAAGCTTCAATTCGTGCCATCTTCGGAAAAATATATAGTATTGAACTAAGCTAATTATATAAGCTAAGCTAGCTATCTTGCCCAAGAAGATGACGAGTGAACTAGTGCAACCAAAAGGAAAGGTGATAAGCATTCTGGCCATAGATGGGGGAGGCGTCAGGGGAATTATTCCAGGCACCATCCTTGCTTTTCTTGAAGCTCAGCTCCAGGTACTATACGTTTAACTCTAGCATGCATCATCTTCATCAATCATCATCTATTTGTCGCTGTATCCATCCATCCATCTTATAGCAGTATTGCTATTGCATGATTCGACTTCTTGAGAAGATTTATGGACTTCAATTATTTACAGAGGAACAATAATCTTGACAGAATCATCTTATAATCTTTTTATAGCGTCTTTGGTAACTTTCATTTTTAACACATTAGTTTCTTTTTTGGTTGAATTGATTGAAATGAGTAAATGGACAACTTTCGAGAGAAGACTCTTGGACAAATCGTTGCCAGCTTGCGTAAAATTTTAGGGTAGATTCTATGGTACCCTATATTTGTCCACATGGACCAATGAGAATGTTGCAGTTGAATTATTTAAATCTAAATTAATAATGATAAAGTGATGTGGTCCAATCAAATGAATGATACGTACGGTACCCCATTTTTTAAAAAGGTACCGGAGTTGTCACCAAATTTTAGTTCTGAATAGTACTAAATATGTTTTAATAGAAAATCCCTTTTTATAAAAATTTTATCAATTGGAGGGCATGCTTTTGAGTAAAGTTGAGTGACTAATATAATAATGAACGTTGATGTTAAAAGTCTACAATCTCTTTACTAGGGGTGGGCGCGGTTCGGTCCGGTCCAATATTTTACCGAACCCGTACCCGGACCGTTACTATTGAACCGGTCCGGTTCGGTTCGGTCTTAGACCTAAACTCGTTCGGTACGGTTCCATTTTCAAACGGGACGGTACCATGCCGTACCAATACCAAACAATGTCACTTTTTTTGACAAATTAAAACTTAGTCATCATCCAAAAAAATCCACACAATTATCAATTTCCATATTACATAATTAATAAATTTCATATACACTATAATAGTACAAAACATAGGTTTGTACGTTTACGACCACCACTCTCTACGCACCATTGCCTTCTCCAGATTATATCCAAAGCTTCACTTCCCACTCAAATACACATAAACAGTGCATTTTTACCCCAACAGAATCATTGATTTCATTTGCCACTTCATTTAAAATTGGAGACTTGAGGAGTGCAGGTTTAACAAGACATTATTTTGGACAAGCTAGTTTGAATATATTTTTTAGATGGGCTAAAGTACTAAACATGTTAAATGTAAACTTATAGCCAAACAATAAGACAAATTGAGCTAGACTAGCAATTAGTAAAGTGCAAATGAGTAATCAAAGTAATGATAATATGGTATACATGTATATATAATTATAAGTTATTAATTATATAAATTAATAAAATTATAATTCGGTCCGGTTCGGTCCGGTACCGGTTCTCATTTTATGAGAACCGATCATGGCATGGTTTGGAACCGGTACGGTCCGGTTCGGGACAATTTTTTTTAGAACCGTTTCAAACCCCGTTTTCCGGTTCGGTACCTTAGCGGTCCGGTTCGGTACCATGCCGGTTCGGTAATTTTGCCAACCCCTACTCTTTACAATATTGTGTTTCATAAATTTATATTTCGAAAATTATATTTCCCCCGTCTCTATATAAAAGACATAGTTTGAATGACACACATCTTTAGACGAAATACTGTTTGACACTATTTGAACACTGTTTAGTATTGTTTTGCACTATTTTGTTTGCCAAAAAAGGAAAGCAGCCTTTTATATAGGGACACCAAAAGGAAACAAAGCCTTTTATTTAGGAACGGAGGGAGTAATACGTGTTACAATCTCTTTAGGGTACTAAGTCTATAGGTACACTCTATGTTACACCGAGGAGTACACCCTATGTAACCCCTCCTTTTTACTTCTCTCTTCCCACTTTTTCCTCACCCCTTCCCCCCCCTCTTGCATCATACGAAACCCCTCACTCTTTCTTTCTTTCTTTCTTTCTTTCTTTCTTTCTTTCTTTCTTTCTTTCTTTCTTTCTTTCTTTCTTTCTTTCTTTCTTTCTTTCTTTCTTTCTTTCTTTCTTTCTTTCTTTCTTTCTTTCTTTCTTTCATCATCATCATCATCATCATCATCCTTTTTTTTCTTTCCTTCTTCCTTTCTTTCTCTTTAAGTTTTATTCATCATGACCTTCCATCATCATCTTCATCATAATCTTTCTTCATCATTTTCACCAGAAACTCACCAAAAATCAGAGCCGCCTGCATTTTTGTTTGTATCGTGCTAAACAACGATAAATAGTCTATAATGATTAATGAAAGATGAAACTAAAACTAGTAACATTCTATAATCTTTCTCCATAAACAAAAATGAGTGCACATACACTGGTTTTCTTTCAGTGTCACTGTACACAGACAAAAAATGTTAAAAAAAAGTCAGGGTTAGATTGTACCGAAACAAATGTCAGTGTACACAGACAAAAATTGTATATATACATACACTTTTGTCTACATAGACAACTAATGTCTGTGTACACCAACATTGATTTCTGTGCAACCACCCTGGCAGATCTGCAAAAAAGTTACATCAATCAGCAAATCAATTTTTGTTCACACAGACAGTTTTGTCGAAAGTGTCAGCATTTGTACTTCTTTGTCTGTGTGAGTGGCAAATAAAGAGGGTGTAACCCAGAGTGTGCACTAAGAATGATTGTACATATAATACACCTATTTAATTCTCCATCTATATATTCCTCTTTAACATCCCTCCCGGTTTGAATAGCATGGAAGTTTTAATTTTTTTCTTTCGATAAGGTAAATTTTAGAGAAAATTCCTTAAATAGGAGTTAAAAAAATTTGAAATTCCAAAATAAGATTGTCATGTTTTTCTTGCCTAAATAGGATTAATTTCTGCCAAGTTTGACATTATCGGGCTTTAAACATGACAGTTTATGTCAAGCTTTTGCCATGTTTGAAAAAAGCTTCACATAACTGCCATCTTTAAATCCTGATAATGCTAAGTTTGGCAGAATTACCCATATTTAGGGAATAAAAACATGGAAGTCCTATTTTGGAATTTCAAAACGTTTATACTCCTATTCTGAGCAATTTCTATAAATTTTGTAGTATACTACGTAATATAATACTAGTTATTTTTTACTTTAGTGTCATTATTAATCAAACTAGAGTAAATTGGCAGAAAATTATTTATCAAATGCGGAGTAATTTAAATTTTTAGTAATTGGAACACACACAAAAACAAAAGGGAAAGTTCCCGAAATGGGACTAAAAAAGTTTGAAAATTCCAAAATAGGACTGTCATATTTTTATTCCCAAAATAGGACTAATTACTGCCAAATTTGGAAAATACTGCCATGTTTGAATTCTGGTACTGTCAAAACATGACAGTAATTAGTCCTATTTTGGGAATAAAAACATGGAAGTCTTATTTTGGAATTTCAAAACTTTTTTAGTCCCATGTTGGGTAATATCTCAAAACAAAATGGAAAGCTTTTTAAAGAACTTCTTATCATATGTTCAAAAACTAATACTCATAATTGATACTATGATGAATAGAAAATTGAGGGGAACCCAAAGGCGAGGATTGCAGACTACTTTGATGTGATAGCAGGAACCAGCACCGGCGGGCTTGTGACGGCAATGCTGACCACGCCCGGAGATAATGGCCTCCCGCTATTTGCCGCAGCTGATATTCCCCCCTTTTACATGAAAGAGTGTCCTAACATCTTCAAAAAAGAATCCAAAACCAAAACTGCCAGCACCCAAAGCCTGGTCACTTCCTTGCTCACCACAAACGTTTCTGATGTTACTGCTGCTACTGTGGAAAACCCCAACTTTGAGTTGCCCCAGTTCTCAGAAGAAGATATCCCCGACTTTTACAAGCAACGCCTCCCTCATTCAGCGCCGCGGCCGCTTCAGATGCCCATAGCGAATGCCAATACGTAAGTAATTTGAAGTAAGGATCACCTAATACAAGAGCATCTCCAATGGTTCATTTTGTGTACTTGCTTTCAATTTTAAAGCTAATAGCTTATCATTTGAGCATTGCTTTAACTTTTTACTTGAGAAAGCTAATTACCCAAAATATAACATTATTAATAATAAATGAAGAGGAAGATGACATAGCTAACCATTGGAGTAAATTTTAATTTTGCTGCAAATGCTTATATGGTTATTCAAGCTACAAAGGTAATTAGCTAACCATTGGAGATGCTCTTATGCCTCCTCACCGACACACACACAAATGTGGTTCATTAAAATAAACAACTTAATTAATTACTCCCTCTGTCCCTAAATTTACTTCCATTTCGCTTTTCGAGAGTCAACTTAAATCACTCTTAAACTCTTACTTTTTGTATCAAAACTTTATGAAAATTGATTTTTTTTTGCAGGCTTTGTAGCGGGTTTAATGTAGTTTCTGAATATGTAAATTTTATTTACTAAAAAGAATCCGAGTTTTCACAGGGATCATTTAACTTTATCGTCGGTCAACCTTCGTAATCCGCAATTGGAACAACATTCAGGGACGGAGGGAGTATATACTACTTATATCATGTACTCCGTATATGTGTGTGTTGTTCTGAATTGAATGATAGAAATTCCTTGAAACAAGAGTAAAATGGACAAATTTACCAAATATATATAATTAATTAATACAGAGTATCATGTTTTATTCTCAAAATATGAATTATAGTTTGTTCTCAATTAGAACTAGAGAACAAAACTATTTACTACGTATGTATTTTCACACGGTTTTCGGTATTTGGTAAATGATTTTTCATGTCAGCGGATGGCGTGCTGACATGACAAGTAACTTGCAAATGGACGTACTCAATTGAACGTTTTTATAAAGTTCGGGGTATCGATTGATTCTTTTAAGAGCACGAGGACGTAATTGATTTTTTCGTGAAAGTATGAGGATCAAATTGACAATTTTTCTTATATAATAATAGTAGTAAATGTACTTTTAAAACTATTTTGAAGAGTTATCAAAAGAATGAAAATTTCAAAAGTTATACATGCGCATATATACACCAATCCTAGACAGCTAAATAACTTCAAAACTTCAATCCGCATGATAGGTAATACGTTAACATAATACCGTAATAGTCATCCCCATTCCTAGCTACCGTCCCAAACAGGACACAATCTGTGGGTATCAATCTTGATACAATCGGCTATCAAATAAGTGAATAATAATCATTGCCAAACACCGTCATACTTACTGTGTATAAATCATTAAATTGTGAACATAATTATAGTAAAAAATGTAACTAAGTGAAATTTTATCCATTATTTTTACTTTGATCATATATTAGAAATTATTTCGTATTAATTATTAGATGTAATATCTGTGCAGGTTGTTTGGATTTCCAGATATTTGGGGTTGGTTCAAGAAACTAGGGTCTAGTGTGTGGTATGTCATTGAGTTCATTGAGAAAATGGGTTTTCGTCCAATGTATGATGGTGCTTACTTGCATGCCAAGATCAAAGAAATGGTTAAAGACATTAAGCTTAACCAAACCCTCACTAACGTTGTCATCCCAACTTATGACGTTCATCGCTTGAAACCTGTCATCTTCTCCTCTTTTCAGGTCATAACTTCAATTCATGATTGTTCTCATTTTGTAGCTAGTGTTCTTGAATATCGACTTTGGGGCCCTCAAGAATGGAGTGTCCACTTTTTTGAATATCGACCCTAGTGGTGTACAAAGATTTTTTAAGATAATGTTTTCGCTACACCACCGTAGGTGGGAGCCTTTGTGGCAGTGAGATAAATGAAAATGAAATGATGAATGTTTTGGTTACACCCTTTGCACATAATTTAAAGCATTCTCAAACATGGAATGAGAGAGACCTCATGTGGCTAGTTGACTAGTTCTTTTAATTAAATCAATTGAATTGAACTAAACTGTAGGCAAGGAAGGAGGCGTCAAAGAACCCAAAACTCGTAGATGTTTGCATTGCCACGTCAGCAGCACCAATTTACTTGCCTCCTCATAGCTTTGAGTTGCAATCGTCTCAAGGGATTGAGAAGTTCAACCTTGTCGATGGCGGAGTTGCCGCCAATAATCCGGTACGGAATATTGCCCGCGTTATTATGGATTATAAGAATTTTATTATACAAAAATAATACAAATCATTATGTGCAAAATACAATGAAACATATATTGCTGATTAGGGGTACAATACATAAATGATACCTTAATTGTTGGTATTGTTGAATTTTGATACTTTAACTTTTAAATGAAATATATTTGTACCATAATTATACATAAATGTTTCAACCTACAATATTATTCAAATTTCTAGCAAAAAAAACTTATGTGGCGGAAGAGGTGGATCCACTCATGTTCAAAAGGGTTCACAATATCACATGAACACCTAAATTTCTGAAAAATATGCTGGTATGTATGTGTAAATTTGGTATAGTTATTTATTACTCTTTAAGTTTGTAGTTTTAAGAAAGTATTGAACACTCAAAACTTACATTCCGAAATCGCGAGTGTGTGGCAGCCAACATTCCATGCATAGAGTCCAACCCTATAGTGATTAAATGGACAAAAGTAATGTAAAGTGGACTTGGATTTTCAACCACCACGTAAGTTTTTTTGGACAAAAATTTGAATAATATTGTCAGTTTAAACATTTATGTGTAGTTATAGTAATAATTTGTTTCATTTAAAAGTTAAGGTAACTAAAAGGCAACAATATCAATATTTAAGACGTCGTTAAATATTAGTTTAATCGCGAGCTTGAACGTTCACAGTTATGTTTTCACTGTCACACTAGTTGAAGATGTTGTTTTAATACTCCATTCATTTCAAATAGAGTTGCAAAATTGACTTTTTGGTCAAAGAGATTCATTTTATTCAATTATAGAATATCTATTTTTAATTAAATTCTAATTTGGATTTTGCAACTTTATAGATATTTTTTAGGAGGTAGTATTATCAATTATCACCGGAGAACATATATGTAGAAAAATGAGAATGAAAAAAAATGAAAATGTATATGATGAGGCAAAGAAGAATGATATGAAACAATCTTAATTAGTTGAATATTAATGATTTTTTTTTTTTAGAAAAAGGAGAATGATATGATGAGCATATTAATGAATTGAGAAGCTCCCTTCAATGATCAATCAGGTGCTAGTGGCTATATTGGAAGCAGCAAAGGCTTATAATGTTCGGCCGTTGCCTGAAAATTTCAGGATCCTGTCATTGGGGACGGGATCATGCACAGGCACTCAAATGGCTGAAGTGGGCGATGCCAATAGTTGGGGCGCCGTCAGGTGGTTGTTGTTTCCGGACAACACTCCTCGTATCACCGACGTTTTCATGGGTGGCAATGAGAGCATGGTGGACGCTTACACCTCTCTGCTTTTCGGCGGCGACACCGCTTCCGGCGGCCCCGACAATTTCCTTAGAATCCAATACCAAGGGATGAAGTACGATGAATGTCTGGTGGATGACTCTAGCAAAGCCTATCTACAAAAGTTGGAACAGTTTGCTAATGATCTGCTCAAGGATCCTGTTTCTGGTCCGACCACTTCCAACCCTCTTGAGCTCACAAATGAAGAGGCTCTCATTTCGTAAGCATCAAGTTCTCATTTAATTTAGTGACAACATTTTTTATTTCACGTTGTCTAACGGATGACTTTATTGGTTACTACTCACGTGTGCAAAACCATTGCCGCATGAAGACTCACGTGTACATGAGGTTTACTGCATGAGGACCTCACCTTGTTGTATATTTGTATGTAACATTAATTTATCGGTTGATGATTATCTCATCCCATTCTTACGTAAAAGTAGCAGTAGATTAGTATGGGTAGTTGAGATATTTGTATTTAAATAGCATAGCTACGGTCAATGTAAATCAATTCGATCACGATCTAAATACACACTCAGTTCAATATATCTTCGTTTTGATTCTTTTCATGGTATCAGAGCAGTGACATAGATCCTGCGATTTCTCGATCAACAATGGCTACCGACTCCAACGGCAACGACGGCGGACGAAGGAAAATCAATGATATTTCTTCTCCGTATTACCTATCAAGCGCTGATTTCCCAGGGATGAATATCTGTGGGATGGTGCTGAAGGGCGAATCGAATTACCGCGAGTGGTCTACGGCTATGAAGAACGCTCTGCGGGCGAAACGGAAGGTGGGATTCATTGACGGTAGTATCCCACAACCAACGACGAACACTGCGGACTCGGAAGATTGGGTGATTGTGAATGCTATGATCGTTGGATGGCTCATGACGGCCACTGATCCGATGCTTAGGTCGAATTTGACCTACATGGATAGTGCCTTGAATTTTTGGGATGATCTGAAAACCCGATTTTCTGTGGTCGATCCAATGCGAATATATGAATTAAAGGAGGCAATTCGGCAGTGCCGGCAGAAGGGTCAAACTGTTACGGCGTATTTCGGAGAACTCAAAACACTTTGGGACGATTATGACGGGCTCCGGGCTATACCGCAGTGTAAGTGTAATAGGTGTACCTGCGATCTCAATAAGCAATTCCTTAGGCTTATTGAAATTGAGAAAACCCATGAGTTTCTTCTCGGCCTTGATCATGACGGTTTTGGCGTACTGCGTTCCAATATCTTAAGCAAGGATGACCTGCCGTCAATGACCAAAGTTTACCAGGCTGTGACTCAGGAAGAGAGGACCCGTAACGTGATTAAAGGCAGAGAAGAACGAACTGAAGTTATGGCTTTAGCCGCACGAACCGGAGACGGACGAGATGAGAAGATTAAGTGTACATACTGCCACAAAACTGGACACGACGTGGACAATTGCTTCAAGAAAACTGGACGCTACCCGGAGTGGTGGTATGACAACCCCGGACGAGGAAGAGGAAGTGGCCGGGGAAAAGAAAGAAGTGGGCCTGGCCGTGGACGAGGGAAGGCAGTCGCACACGCCGCCGTGATTGGAGAAGCATATGAAGAGAAACACAGAGAAGGCGCTGCACAGAATACGGTGCCGGGGCTTTCCGATGAACAATGGAAGGTATTGCTGCAACTAGTTGAAAAAAGTAAGGCCACATCCTCGGGAGATAAATTATCAGGTATGCCGTATGAACTGGATTGGCTCTTAGACTCTGGAGCCTCTTATCACATGACGGGTAAAGCCGAGCTATTTGCCAAAATTGATAAATTGAATCCAATACCGGTTACCATGCCAGATGGTAAAATTACTTATGCCACAAGTATGGGAGAAATTCACATAAGTCCCAAAATTCGTATAAAAAATGTGCTTTTAGTTCCCGGATTGAATTGCAACTTAATCTCTGTTGCACGCCTGATTGATGACATAGGATGTGAGATTTATTTTGCTAATGATATTTGTGTAATACAGGGCCTACCTTCGAGGACGCCGATTGGAGTGGCTAAACGGAAAGGAGGAGTTTATTATTTTCACTGTCTGGACAGAATTCAAGCTCATTCAATCAAGGGTGTACATTCAGGTGAATTGTGGCATTCAAGATTAGGGCATCCGTCCAAGACAGTTCTGCGTTTAGTTAGTAAATTGAATAATTCCTTGTTTCCAGTTGATTTGAATAATGTTTGTGATGCGTGTTTACGTGGTAAACAAACTCGTGATTCTTTCAATTATAATTTAGCTAAAGCTGTTGAACCATTTGAGTTGATTCATTGTGATATCTGGGGCCCGTATAGAACACCTGCCACGTGTGGTGCACGTTATTTTTTAACAATAGTGGATGATTACTCGCGGGCAGTGTGGGTACATTTGATTTGTGATAAGGGGGAGGTACGACATGTATTGCAATATTTTCTTGCTATGACACGCAGACAATTTAATAAACAAGTGAAAATTGTTCGAAGTGACAATGGCAAGGAGTTCACAAGTATGAAAGGATATTTTTTGGAGCAGGGAATAATATTTCAAACCTCTTGTGTCTATACCCCACAACAAAATGGCAGGGTAGAAAGAAAACATAGGCACATTCTTGATATGGCACGTACACTGCGTTTTCATGCACACTTGCCAATAGCCTTCTGGGGGGAATGTGTTCTAACTGCTAGTTATCTCATTAATAGATTACCCTCGCCAATCTTGGATAACAAGTGTCCATATGAAATGTTGTATAATAAACCCCCAGATTATGACCGATTACGTGTCTTTGGATGCTTGTGCTATGCACATAACAAAGATCGTATAGGTGACAAATTTGCTCCACGTGGAATTAGATGTGTTTTCTTGGGATATGCTTATAATCAAAAGGGATGGAAAGTCTATGATTTGGAAAAACAAAGGCATTTTGTCTCACGTGATGTACGTTTTGTTGAGAGCAACTTTCCATATCAAAGTGGCATCCCAAATGATGTACAGCAGGATGATGACAAGGCAGCTGCATGGCTGCGTCTGACCAACTTGGCGGATTCTGATGGTGCTGGAACGAGCAGTACTAATGAGGAGGCATGTGGTAATATGGAACACTCCAATGAAGAATTGCATACGGCCGACAATACGACAGGAATATCAACAAATAATACTTCCAATTCCATGCACCATGCAGACACTACAGCGACCACGTCTGACATTCAGCCCAAACGAACAAGGAAGCCCCCTCTTTGGCATAATGATTATGATGTCCGACTCAACACAGTGAAAATAAATTCTCCTCCCCACGTTTGCGCTGCTCCAAAGGCCGATTCAGGTAACCCTTATTCACTATCTCATTATGTAAAATATACTCATTTTTCGGTCCAGCATCGTGCTTTTCTTGCAGCTCTTTCAGCTCACAAGGAACCCACTTCTTATCAAGAGGCTGTTCGTGAACCGCATTGGCGTGAGGCCATGCAACGTGAAATTCAAGCTCTTGAACGCACTGGCACATGGGAAGTTCAGTCTTTGCCGGCTGGTAAGAAAGCCATTTTTTGCAAGTGGGTGTTCAAAATAAAATATAACACTGACGGTAGCATAGCACGGTACAAGGCTCGGTTGGTTGTTTGTGGTAATAGACAGGTCCATGGCATTGATTATTCGGAGACTTTTGCTCCCGTAGCAAAAATGGTAACTGTCCGTACCATAATGGCAGTTGCTTCTGTTAGACATTGGGAGATTCATCAGATGGACGTTGACAATGCCTTTTTGCATGGCGATTTACGTGAGGAGGTGTATATGCATTTACCTCCTGGATATACCGCCTCGGGGTCTGGAAAGGTATGCCGTTTATTGAAATCTTTATATGGCCTTCGCCAGGCACCGAGATGCTGGTTCTCGAAGCTCACTGGGATTCTGCGTAACTATGGGTTTGTTCACTCCTTTCCCGTTAAAGATTTGGGACGAATGAAATATTTTTTAGGAATCGAGGTGGCTCGAAATTCTTCTGGTATTTTCCTCTCTCAACGAAAGTATGTGCTGGACATTCTCACTGAAACAGGGCTCCTTGGATCCAAGCCTGTGTCATTTCCCATGATTCAAAATCATGGCCTTCAATCGGATCAAGGACCTCTATTTACTGATCCAGACCGATATCGTCGATTAGTTGGTAAACTTATTTATCTTACCCTTACTCGACCGGATATCAGTTACTCTGTTCACATATTATCTCAATTTATGCAACAACCGAGACAAGCACACTGGGAGGCAGTTGTGCGGGTATTGCGTTATCTCAAGGGACATCCGGGACAAGGCATTCTGCTTCGGTCCGATTCCTCTCTCACCTTGGCTGGGTTTTGTGATTCTGATTGGGCCAGTTGTCCTGTTACACGAAGATCTGTCACTGGTTATTTTGTCCAGCTTGGTGGGTCTCCTATATCTTGGCGCACGAAGAAGCAGGTTACGGTATCCCGGTCCTCGGCTGAGGCGGAATACCGGTCTATGGCCACTCTCACGTGTGAATTAATCTGGCTAAAACAGTTATTGGGATCGCTCGCTGTGCGGTTTAATTCTCCTATTCCTATTTTCTGTGACAACAACGCCGCCATCCATATCGCCTCTAATCCAGTCTTTCATGAGCGAACTAAGCATATAGAGTTGGATTGTCATTTTATTCGTGATCATGTACAAGCAGGTACTATTGTTCCTGTTCATAAATCTACTACGGAACAGCTAGCGGACCTCTTCACCAAAGCTCTGGGTTCTCATCAATTTTCTTATTTACTTGGCAAGATGGGCATTTTAGATCCCCATGCTCCATCTTGAGGGGGGGTATTGGTTACTACTCACGTGTGCAAAACCATTGCCGCATGAAGACTCACGTGTACATGAGGTTTACTGCATGAGGACCTCTCCTTGTTGTATATTTGTATGTAACATTAATTTATCGGTTGATGATTATCTCATCCCATTCTTACGTAAAAGTAGCAGTAGATTAGTATGGGTAGTTGAGATATTTGTATTTAAATAGCATAGCTACGGTCAATGTAAATCAATTCGATCACGATCTAAATACACACTCAGTTCAATATATCTTCGTTTTGATTCTTTTCAGACTTTAACCTTTCCATCCCGTTTGGTGAGCGTGTTTTTTGGCTTATCAGATTTATTAGCTAACCTTTTCACCAAACACGTAACTTTTGATTTCACGCGCTGAATTGTGTAATGATAAAAAAAGTAAGATTGAATTTACTTTCCTGGCTGTATTGGCTGAAATTACCGTAGATTGTCATTTTAGCCATTTTTTAATATATATTTTTATTTATTTTATTACTAAAATGTACGGATTATTTTATATATAATTTTTTCATAAGTTTGCAGAATCAGTCAATACATACACTTGAGTCAGAACTTCATAAATATCAACAGGAACTGCCGTTTTCAGTGTGATCAAACGGGCTCTTCATATACATAGCATTTGAGTGCGTGGATCCTAATAACAAATGAAGAAACTGAAATGTTATATTTGAGATAAATTTACATCTTTTATAATTTAGATTTTAATAGTAGAAGCTAAGTGTGGGAATTATGTGCATAATGAACACATATTAGACATACAGCGCTGCGCTATAGACTGGTCTAGCATGATTTATCATCAACCAATGACAATAAGAAAAGTGAGGTTATGTGGTTGTTATTAAATTCATAAAGTAAGAAAGTAAAAATGATTTAGAACCATACAAATTTTACCAAATTTGATATGAAAAAATCTTAATTAGACAAATCGATCGAAAGAGGAAAGATGTGACAATTTTAGCGGGAGTACATAATTGTACATATCACTTTATCCACCACTTTTTTTCTCTTTTAAAAAAAAAAGATATATACTCGATCACTTATTTGATAAAAACAAAAGTTCACTTTATCCAATACTATTTTTAAAATGGTAATAATGTAATAATTAGACTAAGTACAATAAACACTTGCATAACAGAATTGGTTGAAGATAGAAAATTTTAACTATTAACATATATGACTAGCTATTTCTTTAATTTATTAATCAAATATGTGGGTGTGTGTGGGGCTATAATCAATTCATTACTTTGGAGATTCAGCAGTTCAACTTTACTAATTTCAACAATTTGAGAATGTTACGTTGCAGGTTTGCTCAAAACTTGGTGAGAGATAGGAAGCATTGATGATTGTGATGATGAGTAAGAATAAGGGCCTAGTTGAGTGACGATATGATGCAAATTTCATTTCAGGCCATTTTCCAAAATAATAGATCATATGATCTTGGTGTGTCATTTTCAGTAATAATAATGTTGTAATTAACGAGGTGTATGAAAATAAATGTATGTATAATGTAGTACACTACTACTAGTGACCTAGTGTGGTGCTAGCATGCTTATCCATATAATGTGTGTCCTAATCGTAATAATATAATCGTATCCTGGGAAATGTAAGTATATATTAACACCCAAAGAAATAATAAGTCAATGTTACATGCAAAGTGCATATCCCGAAACATAGGATACCACAACATCAAGATAGAAATCCTCAAAAGTCAACAATTTGAACCTAAAAACATTAGGAGCAAAATAAAATCAACAAACTAGCTCACCAAAATATTAGGTATCCCTAATTTAACATCCAAAGAAAGCACGGAAAGGAGTAGTGAACTTTGAGTCAAAGCAAACCTCCCCTTTCTTCTTAGTAACCCCCGGCAACCTCTCAAGACAATGGGCGGTGAAAGTTAGGCCCTTCCTATCCAAGTCATCCGTAAGTCGAAGAGAGGTATCCACTCTAATGAGCATGGACGTATCTAAACGGTTTGACAAGTAACTTGAGCGTCTTATCATTTATGACCTCACATTTGGTGACCACATCTCCCAATGGTGTGAGATATACTCCCTATACAATATGGAGTACTCCGTATATTCTTTCTTACGTCTCCCTGAATATGTCCATACACTATTCCTCATACGGTCCATACACTATTCCTCATAACCTTATTTCCATCATTCTTAGCAGTATTTTGTTTCGCCGCCTATTCATATTTTATAAACTCAATATAAATTAATCACCAATTATCTTTCAGAAATTGTTCTAAATAGGAGTAAAAACGTTTTGAAATTCCAAAATAGGAGTATCATGTTTTTTATTCATTGAATAGGAGTAATCTGTCAAGTTTGAATTTTGGAAAAAATGTGATGTTTAAAGCCTTGTAATGCTAAACTTCGCAGAAATTTACTCTTATTTAAGGAATAAAAAACATGATACTCCTATTTTGAAATTTCAAAACGTTACTCTTATTTGGGAAATTCTCTT